TCACAGGCTGCTGCGCAAAAGCAACTATGCGGAGCGTGTCGGTGCCGGAGCCCCCGTCTACCCGCCGGCGGTGCTGGAGTACCTGACCGCTGAAATCCTGGAGCTGGCTGGAAATGCTGCCCACAACAACAAGACCAGGATCATCCCCCATCACCTGCTGCTGGCCGTCCGCAATGATGAGGAGCTCAAGCTGCTGGGCAGAGTGACCATCGCTCAGGGTGGCTCTCAGGGAAGCTCTCTTTGTGGTCCTTTGGAGACGCCGAAGGGGAAGGCGAGCCGGCGCACTGGTTAAACTGAGACAGCGGGGTTTTCACTCAGTGAAACTCAGGCAGCTTTGTCAGACCAAAGAGGGGGCCTTTAGAAGTAGGAACAGAGTCCTGGACATCAGGCCAGGAACACTCTGACTAAAGAGGTCAAAGCAGCAAAGAGATGTTACGCTGAAAAGCTAGGAAACAGCTTCACGGCCAGCAACCCTGCGTCAGTGTGGGAAGGCCTGCGGACACTCACTAACTACAGGAGACTATCCCCCAAAACTGCTGGTACTAAACGACTGGCTGACGAGCTGAATGGTTTCTATTGTAGGTTTGAGAAGCCCACAGTCACACCTCTCCCCAACTCAAACACCATCTTCAGTTACCGTCCCCAACTACCACGCTCTCATCCTCCTTCTCCGACCCCTCACCTGCATTCATGATCTGTCTTCCAGAGACAGAAGATTAGGAAGGCTCCTGACCCCAAAAAAATCTGGGCTGACCAGCTGGCCCCCATCTTCACTCAGATATTCAACAGATCACTGGAGCTGTCCCAATAAACTTGTGATCAGACAGAAAACCACAGCATAGACTGTGTTCATTGTTAGTTGTGAGCTAGCTAGCAACAGATGCCACAACTAAGTTTGTGTTTTTAGTTCAGCCTCTGAATGATCTCTGAACTCTGCAGAAACTGCACTTATTTCTCTCCTATTTCCTCTCTGTATGTTTATCAAGCTTCAGGATCAGCCTGAATTAATTTCTTTGCATCAGGCTGCATTTGGAGAATTTGTCAATTTTGACATAAACTTTGAATAATTGGCTTTGCATTTTGCCCAAACAGACAGTCAGAGGTCTTACTGAACAAGTCTTTGTTCTGCTTGACCTTTAGATCCGGCTGTACGTGAAGAGAATCCACCAAGGCCTCAGAGTGGCTCACCACGGAGCAGGTTGACATCAGTTCGGTCACAGTTTGTAGGTTCAGTGTCTGAACCTGTTTTAAACCAGCTGCTGGATCAGCTTTTGCAACGGGGCATAATAAATCAAGAAGAAATGGATTCAGCCAGAGCCAGAACCAGGGCTGACAGGGCTCGAGAAGTGATTGACATGGTTCGAAACAAAGGAACACAAGCCAGTTCAGCTCTGATTGAGGACTTCAGGATGTTGGATCCACACCTTTCCAGAAATCTGAAACTGAGCTGAAGTAGAACTGAGACTCTGTAAATGAAACATCTATATCAAATCATTATTTGGTGTGATCACCCTTTGCCTTCAAACAGGATCAGTTCTTTAAGGTAAAGTTTCACAGTGAGGGACTTTTTAGGCACACTGTCAGGTGTATGATTAAACAGGTGCTAATGATTATAAATTCAACATGGAAGTTGGCAAGACTGAGCACAGCAACAAAACATTTCAAGCTGACAGGGGTTTCCAGATGTGCTGTCCACAGCAGCACTGAGGACAGTAGATGCAGTGTTCAGCCAAAGAAACTTACTGCAGCAGATGTCAAATAAATATGACGTGCATCATTATCTGTTGTTTGGTTACAGACTGCCACTGTGTTCCCTGTCAGAGGAGGAAAACAGTGTTCATGAAAACTTATATATTTCTTTATTTTATTCATGTATGAGTGTTTCCTTCAGATTTAGACTTTTATTGTCCCAGAGATAGATAACTTTACTTAATGATTTACATTTTTGATTAGAGAGGCTGCTGACAGTCATTTTAAACTTTTCCATTTGGCAATTAATGCCACAGCAACTATTGTAGAACATTTAAACTGCAAAACTAAAAACTGTTTTGAAATCAAAATGACACAAACTGCTCGACATGTGCGGTTTTAAATCTAGTCTATTAGTCTATTGTGTAAATGTGTTTTTTCTGCTGATCTGTTCTGAACACACATCTACTTCCTGTCTGTCCTCATGAGCTTTCATCCTGTTTGAGTGTAATTGAGGTCATAAGAACAGAAAGGATTATATGCTGGACAGATTGATACAGATGATTTTTTATAACCACTGATAATGATGGTGATAATGATGGTTATGATGGCGGTCTGATGTACTGTAGGTTATCTGAAAAGTCGTCTCTTGATGGATGTTTTTGTGTGAGCTTGTGTGGTGGGTTTTAGTGTTTGTTTTACATGTTTTTGTCATATGTATCATGTATTTATGTATTTTGTGTTTAATGTTCAGTGTCCCTCCAGACTTTTTTTTTTCTGGAACAGTAAAGTTGAAACATTCAATAAATTTAGAACTTTATAGATTTAAAGAAATGTTGAAGATCCATCTTGTTTAGACACAAAAACACTCAGCATGAATTAGTTTTATGGAAATCTGGGTTTCCTTAAAATAACATTTCTCTCTTTCTTATTTTCTAAAATCCCTTTTACTTTGTATGTTTCCTCTGGTTCCCCGGCCTTCATCTAGTCCTGACAGCATCACGGTTCATGGTTCGTCTTCTGGACTCAAGTGTTAAGTTGTGTTCTGTTGTATTTAAGTCAATAAAAACACCGGTGGAAAAACAGTGAGCTGCAGCGCACACACACCTCCTCTCCCTTCCAAACACTAGCTACCCTCCAGGCAGTCAATGGACATAAAGTTGTTACTGTGATGTAGAGACAGAGATCAGTAAAAACTTTATGAATGTCAGATACTTTTGTTACAGATAACTCACCACTCTGAAACTCTTGCTCCAGTCCATGTTGCTAAGCTGGTAAGGGAACATGTACAGCTGAACCGAAGCTAAGAGTTTGAACCTGAAAATGAGCATAATGTGACCTCTTTAACATCAATGGATGTTTTGGGGGTAAAATCAGTGACATAAATGCTGTTTATGCTGCTGTTTCATACATTATCAATTGCTAATGTCAGGTTGATCACAATGGATTATACATATGCATATTTTCTATACATGTATATTATACTTTTTTTTGTAAATGTATCCTAAATTGATAAAGATATCTGTTGTGATGTAGATAAGAATCTGTGGTCTGACAGATAGCAATGTCAGCCTAAGGGGTCTTAACATTTCTACAGTACATTTACTGTAAAACAGTCTCATGGTGTTTTTTTATTACAGCCAGGTGTAATTACTGACATAACTACGCTTGCTGTAGCCTGGTTTATTCACTCCAAACCAGCTCATGGATACACACATTTCGCAATGTCTTTGTTTTTCTTTTTTGCGACATTTCAAAAGTTCGCTTAAAATTCACATGACAATTAGATGGAAACACGGCTACTGTCTTCAAAACTTTATAGTTTTGCCATAGTTTACATCAGAAAATACTTCCAGAATATACTGTTATACTGACAACATGACTAAACATTTTGACTATCTTGTTCATAAACAATTACATGTCAGGGCATCAGAAAGATAAGTCCTTCTGATGCACTGACATTTTCATAAATGTAAAGATTTATTTTTGAGAGATAGACCAAAGATTTTGAGCAAGTTACAGGCTTTAGCAGGTAATCCACTGTGCAAGGCTGGTAGTGTGATATGTTTTGATATGTTGGTGACTCCATAACCAAAAAAATCTGTTTCTTTAACGCTACCACTCACTGCTTCCCCGGTGCCACCACGGCTGACATTTAAAAAAAAATAACGCCAGGACCTGATGCCATCGCTCCCGTCCTCCATCACAAGAGTGATAGTCCATGTGGGAACAAATGACACAGCTCTTCAGCGCTTCAGTCTGAGCTAACAAAATCTGATTTTATCCGTCTTTCTAACTTTTTAAATCAGTGTGGAAAGTCCGTTTTTATCTCTGGTCCCATTCCCACAGTTGGTCGCGGTGCTGGCCGCTTCAGTAGACTCCTTGGCCTCCACGACTGGCTCCAGTCCGCCTGCAGGGCTCACGGTGTGTGTTATGTGGATAATTTTAATATTTTCTGGCAAAGAATGTCTCTTTTTAAGACAGACGGACTTCACCCAAACAAACAGGGCTCAGAAATGTTACCTTCTCACATACAGCATGTGGTGCGGTCCTCCCCTCAGGACTTACGTGAATGACTAATCATTCATGCAGCACACCTGGACACACCACCGCTCACTGAACAGATCTCTGCCTCACTGCCACAACTGTCTCCACCTGCTGGCATGTAAAGCCGTCTGCTCCCAGCGCTGTTCCAAAGACTTCTATACGCATAGACCAGTAAACCGAAATGTGCACATCCCACACAGAAATCCTAGGATTAGGAATAAAAGGATTAGGACAACTGCACCAAAACAAAGTCATTTAAATGGCTCTGTTCAATGCGAGATCTCTGTCAAGTAAGACTTTTATCTTAATTGATTTTATCTTGTCTGCAAATCTAGATTTTATGTTTTTAACTGAATCATGGTTGTAAATGAATGACTATAGCCAGCTAGCTGAACTGTGTCCGCCTCAATATGATAATTTTAGTGGTGGTGGGTTAGTGAGCGTGTATAGAAAAATTTTTAAATGTCATCAAGTATGCTGTGATGAATTTAACTCCTTTGAAGTTCTCACTCTTAAACTTGGAGGGCTGAAAACTATCATATTTGTTATAATTTACCCCCCCCCAAAACCGATTTTTATCAGAACTTTAAGAAGAAGAATTTTAATATTCATGTTGATGACCCCACCAATGTTAAAACTGACTTTTTAAATATGGCCACTTCTTTTAACTTCAAACAACATGTTAAAGGGCAAACACATAACTGGTCATACACTGGACTTGGTTTTTACCCTGGGTGTCAGCATTTCCTCTGTGGAATTAGTGGACATGACCATATCTGACCACAGATGTATTGTTTTTAGCTGCGATTCGCCTGTTACTCATGCCGCCTCACCAAGCTCCGTGTGTTCTCGCTTCTTTAATGAACAAAGTGTTTCAAAGTTTTGCGCATTCTTTCAGAGCCAAAGTCTGATTCCAACACCAACAATCTGGTCGATCACTTCAATCATATCTGCTTGTCGTCACTAAATATTACTGCTCCTCTAAAGGTTAGGCCTACGTCTAAAGCTAGTAAGCAACCCTGGATAAATGACAGCATTCGCAGCCTAAAAAGGGAATGCAGGAAAGCAGAGCGCAGATGGAAAAAATCCAGTCTCCAAGTCCATTACCTCAGTCTGAAGGATTTATTAATTAACTACAATAACATGGTTAAGGATGCGAGAACACACTATTTTTCTGAACTCATTACTACACATAAACACAATCCCAGGTTTCTGTTTAAGACTGTGGATCAGCTGGTAAACCCAACCCCTCCTTGTGCCTCAGCTGGAAGTAAAAGATGACTGAATTGTTTTTATCTTATTTTACCAATAAGGTGGTGTCAATCAGAGCCTCTATTACCCCCGCGGCCTCTTACTCAGAGGTTCCTCACCAGCAACAAGAGAGTTTTAACCAGTTTTATCCCATCGACTTGGCTGAGCTTTTAAACAGTATCACAAATGAGAGTGTCCTCCAGCCCACTTGATGTAATACCTGTTTTTACTGAAAGTAATGGATTCTGTTGTTCCATTTGATCTCAGTTTTTTTTTCTTTTTTTTGCGTGAACCCACTTCTAAAGAAACCTGGTTTAGATCCCTCCCTCCCACAAAATTTTAGACCAATTTCAAAACTGCCTTTTATTGCAAAGATCATAGAAAGAATTGTGTCCAAACAGCTGCTCACTGTACTGGAAAATAAAATATTATTTGAAAAGTTTCAGTCTGGTTTTGGGAAGTACCACAGCACTGAGACTGCCCTGCTTAAAGTCACCAATGACCTTTTAATGTCTGCTGATGAAGGCATGTGCTCAGTCCTGGTACTCCTGGACCTTAGCGCTGCTTTTGACACCATTGATCACAACATCATGTTAGACAGACTGAGGCACTG